CCCCAAAACCCCAAAACCCCAAAACCCCAAAACCCCACATATTATGAATGTCTATCTTTAAAGTTATCAATGGAAATAAATATAGTTAATCATCAAAAGCTAGTCATTCTACGATTATATCGGTATTAATCTTAGTCCTCTGAACTACTTCTTTAGCTTTTTCAGCCTGAGTTTTAGATCTCAACTCTACTATATATCTAATCTTAATTCTTTCAGGGTTTTTAACTATAAATTCACTCTATGCAGGTGCATTAGTATACTAATGAATTCTCTTGACATATTATTGACCTTCTAATTTCTTAACGGTTTGCTCAACTTTGACATAACGTCCCTGGGGAATGATAGATCCATCCTCTAACAGCAAATTAAATTAAGGGTCAGGAATCTGATTTGCACCAATCCATAATGTGTCAAACATTGGTAGCGCCTTTTCATTTGTTATCTCCAGCATTCTTCTGCTTCTAATTGTTCTGGTATCATTCACTTTCTCACCTAATAGTTTTCTCTTCTTACTGATTTCATTTTCACCTTCCTATTCTTCATCGCTTAGTTCATTAACATCAAACTTCTGGGCTTTCACTTCTTCATCTTCTATTTTAGCATCTTCATCCTAAACCTCTTCATTATCTTCATCCGAATCAACTTTCTTCTAATTATTGTTTTCTACTTTTACTATTTTCAGTTTGCTGACTTATTAATTGATCTCTCTGAGCTATTATTAGGAGCCAATAGCCATATTTGCTACATAGTTTTAAAGGTAATTATAGTTGTATTAACTATGAATAATAGTTTTCTGAGCCTGCTCTTGCTTAAGAATGTAACCCAAAGCAACTTCACAGATTAAAATATACTTTCTTTCCATATATTGAGGCTAGTCCTTATCTATATCTGCTAAGTATGCTTCCTAATCCTCAAGTTCCATGTATCTGGTGCCTACTGCATAAGAGGCACTCTTATCAAGCATATTAGAGAAGTATACACCGGGTCCGAACGCTTAACCATGTTGATTCACTCCAAGTGGAGATGATTTCAAGCCGGTGCTAAGAATGCTCAAAAGATTTTACTAGCCAGTACCGTGGAATAAAAGTAGTCTGTGAGGATCATTACAAAATCCATTGTTTTAAAAGTTTTGTTCATCTTGATGTCTACTGATCTTATAGATATTGTTAATTGTATAGGTATTGACATATGACTAACCTGTATTCACCACATAGTTTTTCACTATCTCATAATCTAGAGAATCCTATTCGGCATACGATATATCAATACCAAGGCTTCTGTAAATATAGTCTAGGGGACTCATTTACTTGCTCATATACTTTGCCCCCATTAGTATCTTAGTTGAATTTTCAAGGGTTAGCAAGTCATATAAGGTATTTCTGAATTTGTCAATCTACTGCTAATCACAGATTGGTTCAGGCAACTCAGTGGAATAGCAAAACGGAATAGTCCTATACAATTCACTTGAAAGCTAGACAATCTCCTTATATTTATTTTCAGAGGTTGACTCCTCGTCATACTAAACTTAAGCTTTTTTAAAGAGTTCTTAAATTTTTTCTAAAATATCTTTGCCCTTAAGAATATCTTCTTTCTTAATGTTTGACAAGTTTAGTTAATTATTGTTTATCATCTTTTATTTAAGAACTTCGCTGTACATTCCTATGTTAGCGATTAACTTAATAAATCTTTGCTGATCTTTTTCTAATTGAGACTCAGCACATTCCTTGTAAATAAATGGTACGAGACTGTCAGTGTAGTTAAAGATTTGTCTGCTGACCTTATGATAAACATATTTTCCTTTTGCTCTGGGGAGCTAGAAGTTTTCTCTATCTGCCCAATTGTTGCTAGTTTTCAGCTTGAATATCTTAAGAAACTCTTCCACTGCTTTTTCTTTGGTCTAGAAAGGAGTCTTCTGGCACATGCCTTGATCATGAGCATTAATCATGCCCCATTTAGTCAGAACCACATAAATGTTCTTCACTTTGTCATGAAGCAGTTAGATTTTATAGTAAACTCTTGAAGAGTGGCCATACTTCTTCAGATCAATCTTTATAAGATTAGCTTCATAAGCTGAGTCTATATCATCTTCATTTTCAAACTCCACGGTTAGAGCCTTATCATCTACGCCTAGAATTTTATCTGGTTTTGGCAAAATTTTTTATATCACAATCTATTAGGACTAAGCTAACTCACTGAGATACCTCTCAGAGTCTCTCAAATAATCTACTTAGGTAGTATCAATCATCATCATATCTTCCAATTGGATCATTTTCTCCTCTGATTTCTTATTAGTTTACGTATTGATATTTAGCATAGGTAACTTATTTAGATTATTAAGTTTAAGCTCCTTTTAAATGAGTCTGTAGATATAAGACTTAGGATATTTGCTCTAATAGTCGAATATCTATTTGATATCTGAGTTTTAGGATGTGATCTCTGCCCCTAAAGATACAAGTTTTAAAAAGAATCTATAATTATCGTATGTGCCAGAATCACAATTCGTAATTAATATCTAAAGTGATGTTTTGCCTTGATTATCCTTATTTTCTAAAATCTTTTTTAAGTCATTTTTAGTTTATTCCTTTTTATTGGGAAGAGGTTCAATCGTCCCTTAATATCTTGGAAGTATCTTAGACATATTTACTTTAATTTATTTGAAGATTAACTTAAAACAATTATAGTCATTCTATTATGCTAAGACCATTATTGGATCTCTGTTCTGCTCATCTCTTTAATCAAAGACATCAAAAAGATTACTTGAACTTGCAAAAAAAAGCTCTAAATAAGATACTGCTAAATTTTACTCCAAAAATTTGATTGATCTAGTTAAGTGATTAAAGGGAGTAACTTTCAAAGTCTCAGGTACATATATTTAAAAATTTGATTCATCATAGTATTTTTCCTCGTAAATTATATTCTATCTCACCTTTTAACTGTTCATGAGTATTTTAAAGCAATGATAATTATCATTGACCCTTAGATTTTTTCCTTTGATAGCCAAAACTAGTGGTGTTTAGCCGAGGCTATCAACCTCATCAACTTAGACACATGCATCTGCAAGCATTATTTCAAGCAAAGAATATGCACCATTAATAGCAGCATAGTGAATAGGCAGTCTTCCAAGAATATCTTTTTAAGCTATATCGATCTCCCTTCTTTTGAATTGCTTGTATATTCTATTCAATTGCTTAGAGTTTTACATGCCATTCAGAATCTTAGCGTTTATTGCTAGAATATGAAACAGATTCTAATTTTTTTAATTAGACTTTTGAATGGCCTTGTTATCTGATACTTTTTAAAGAAGTGTTAATGCCAATGAGAATTTTTACTGCTTTAGAGCATCTTCCATTGCCATAATCAAATCAAAACCATAGTCCAAGATTAAATAGGAAAGCCCTAATTACTGATACTAAACTGCAAGTTTGAACATATTTTCTGGCTAGCTAAGTTATTTCGCATTGAATATTTATTGCTATCCATAGCCATATTACTGTTGTCCAAATAAGCTATATTACTGTTGTCCAAAAATGCTATTCTAATTGTATACAGGAGCTTCAGGTTCTGAAACATCAGGATCTTCATCAATCATTTAACTTTCTCTTATTTTCTTTTTATATTCAAGGTATGCTTGCCTGTTCTCTGGATAAACTAACTCATTTACATTGCTGCCTTGCTTAATAAGCATTATGGCATATTCTATAATTATGAATAAATGTGATGTTTAATGGCTTACAAACTTAGTTATAAAGCATTGCAGTAGCTAGAGGTGTATTACCGTAGGCATCTTTTTAGTGGAAATCCACACCTTTCTTCTCAAGATAAAGTGTACTTATTGTAGCTCCTCTTTATGCCGCATAGTGCAAGACATTCTTTCCATACTTATCCTAAATACTTGGATTAGCATCTTTTACTGAGCATAAACTAGATATTGTCTCTATCGGATCCATAGCCTAATTTTGATTCGATTACTGTCCAATCTTCACGAAAGCATAATGCAAAGGAGTTCTTTTAGTCCTATCTTATAGATTCACATTAGCATTGTTAGATATAAGCAAGTTCTCCATATCAAAGTTGGCATCAATAGTTGAACTAGAGTTATTGACTGCGTAATGCAAGGCAGTTCTTCCCATTTTATCCTAGATATTTGGGTCACTTCCTTTATCAAGAAGGTACTCAGCCATGTCGAAATCATTCTTTTTTACTGTCAATATTAATAGGGTTTCAATTTGTTTATTCGTGGCATTAATATCCATATTCTTTGTCAATAGATACTCAGCAATTTTTATCTTATTTTATTAGAAGGACAACAGCAATGCATTATTTCCTTGTTGATCAGTAACACTCTTATCTAAGTTGTGCTATTCAAGGAATTCAAAATACTCAGTAAATTATATATCATCATTTGGAATGGTAGATACAAGTTCAATAAAAAAAGTTTACCCTGCAAGAGTTTTTTGATTGATATCTAGGCCTTCTTTTACAAGAATTTTCAAAAGTTTCATACTTTTGAAGCTATTCATAAAACTCATTAAACCATACAGGTTTAGATATGCTAGGTTATTGTAAAACTGCTAAGCTGGTGTAATTGTAATCTAAGTCGCAGTATTAAATGAATAATTGCTGAAAATGCTATTAGGGATAATAGGGATAAGCTGAGATGGTTGTATTGCTTCAGGTTCATATGCTAATGGCTGCTTGTTTTTATAGGCATCATAGTCTCTCCTAGCCAGCTATTAAAATTCCTTATTTTCTTCAGCAGTTAAGCGATAAAATGTTAGCATCTAATCTCTGAATTTAGGGTGCAAAGCAAGGTAAGTAGGATAAATATAGTATTGATTAACACAGGCTCCCATTTTTATATAGATTTGGAGAAATTTAATGTACCTATCTAAGACCATTTTATCATATAAGTAGTCCTAAGCTTGAATTACATAGTAATCTTCAGTTTTGCATAATCCTAATTGAGATGCTTTTTAATTTTAGGCTTAGAAGTATTATTAAATTTTTTCTTTTGCCTTAGTATCTCCTACTAATGAATATATAGATTGCTAGTCACTAGACAATTAAATGAGATTAAGTGATAGATTCTCTGATTGATTCTTTGCTAAATCCATAAAGTAATCCTATGCTGGAATTGCCACTTCTTATAGATCTTGATCTTATTTTGCAATCTCAAATAGATAGAGATATCTTTTGATTTTCAGATAATTAAAGAAATAAGGCTTTCTAAAAGTATTAATTAAGAAAAAAATTTTACAGGTGAGTGGTAGTTGATAATTAATTCATTATAGCAATCAAAATAGTATACCCTTGTGAGTTACAACCATTCAAAATATTTTCATCAATTTTTTCATGTTTATTCAAAAAGTCAATGAACACCTCGTTATCATTATCATCATTCTTAGGAGTCATTTTGAACATCAAATCAGGATTTTGGTTTATGTTCAATTTCAAATTAAATAGCGGTAGCAAGAAGAGTTTATTTTGTTATAAAATCATGTCAAGTGGAGATTGATTAAGTTTAGCAAATTATTAGATATCACACCCTTAGACTGTGATAAGATACTCAACTAGCTTGTAGTAGGATTTTTGCATAGTAATTACCTTATCTTAATATCTATTTGTTGTGTAATCTTTTATTGATTTTTTGTGGGAATAATAAGGGGCATGAAGAAGGTAATAAAACGGAGTCAATTTATTTATATCTTCTTAATTAGGATTAGCTCCCTTCTATTCTATAAGATGTTTGACGTAATCTGTAGTTTTTTCTTCAAATTTCATCATGGAAAAGCAAAGCAAGTTTCTTCCTTTGTCATCAGTACTATTAACATCGATTCCATCAATATCTAGTAAAAAATCTACTATCTTTTTATGACCTTTCATCATTGCAATAATCAAAGGTGTAAATCCCCATTCATTAGCATTACTGATACTAGCACCTGCTCTTATCAGTAATTTAATACAATCTAACCATCCATATGCACAGGCATAGTGGAATGGATAGTTCAATGAATCATCTGGATAGTTAAAATATGCTCCTCTAGTGATTAAGAAGCGAGCTATTCTTGTGTGTCCATTTCTAACAGCATATAGAAGTGCATTTCTATCATGTTTATCAACCTAATTTATATCTGCTTTTAATTTATCTACCATAAACTCAACAGCCTCGAGTCGCCCGTAAGAAGCTGCATGCATTAAAGGAGAGAGGTGGTGGAAACCATTTTGAATATTGATATAGTCCTTTTCAATCTTGCAAAGCGCTTTGAGGCATTCAATACTGCCAGCTTTAGCAGCAACATGTATTGGATAGTTACCAGATTTGTCTTTATAGTAAATAGCTGTTTCATCTTCCTCCATGATTATCTTAATGTTCTAGATTTACTTGCACTTGACGGCTATAAATATCGGCGTTTACTTATTATTATTCTCAGAATTCACATTGAAGTTTCTTGCTAATAAAAGTTCTAATGGCCCAGTTGAGCTACATGCTGCAGCGTAATGAATGCACTCATTTCCTTCGTCATCTTTTTATCTACTTAAATTGTCGTTTGATTTTATCATAACAAGAAGTCTTTTAAGAATTTCAAGATTTGGATTGAGTGCAGCAGAATGAAGGGAGCTAATCCCACCAAACACTGAAGTCTTATTGACTGAAAGCTTATTGTAGTTCTTTGGTAGTTAGTTCAGGTCTTAAGCTACTAAAGTGGCATAGAGAAGCTAATTAACTTGAAATAAGGGGTCATTTACTACTGGAGCTATTAACTTCTCAACAATTTCCACTTTGTTGTTTATCAATAGTTTTTAGATAAGAGTATTGTTAACAAATGTTTTCATTGAAACGTCTAACTTTATGATCTTCTAAATAAACTCATAGTCTAGTTTCTCCATTAGGACCATTCTTTCAATGAAATACTCATTCTGCAAATATTCTTAAAAGCCATTTTCTTCAACTACAGTTTCTTAAAGAAAAGCATTATTGCCTAGTTTGTTTCCTCTGGACATATTTACTTTTCTAATTTCAACTCCATAAGCTTAATTGCTAACTGATCCTGTATCAAACTCTTTCAATTATGTTTACCCGAGATTCACTCTCCTTGATCTGTGCTATTGATAATTCATAAGCATGTCAAAAGTCTATTTATCGCCATTAGAGATTGCATACTCTAAAGGTGTCCATTTAAACTCAGGGGACTGTGCTATCAAAAGTGAGCTTATGTGTTACTTAGCATCTATACACTTTTTCATTAAGTCATGATTTTATGTGGCAGCTGCTCTGATAACATTTGTATTCGCACACTAGACACAGCAGTCTAATGATTTCAGTTCTGGGCTATTGTCAAAAACATCTTGCTCAAGATCTTCAATTAATAAATCATCTGGGTTTTGTAGAACTTTAGTATACTCCTCTGGTATTTCAACCTTCTTTCTCTTGTTTGTTTTCTTTGGAATACATGGCTTAGATCCTTTATCTTAGCCAGCTCTATTTTAGATTTTACCTCCTGCTCCACGTTTTTTTGGTATGACCTCCTCACTCAAATCATCTTCAAAATCAGACACAAAATCAGCTTTCCCATAATTATCTGCTTTCGGCTATGTTTTAACAACTTTAGGTTTCACCTACTTTGCCTTGGCTTTAACTTCTTTAACTTTTGCCTATTTACCCTTCTACTTTTTAAGTTAAGCGTCAATTTATTTATCAATTTTCTTGAGATCTATTACTCTTTCTTCTATAGTCTTACCATCTTTGGCCTTTCCAATTTTAACTTTATCCTATAGTTTTGAATCTCTTTTTTTAACAGGAGCAGCTTTAGTAGCCTTTGCATTCAAGTCAACTTTAGAGACTACTTTACTTATTTTTGGCTTTGTTATCTTCTGATCAGATTTCTGCTCAGTATTTTTACTTTAAATTTGCTTCCCTTTGCTTTATTTTCTCTAAACTTTCTTTGGTTCCCTATATATCAATATAATACACTGATTAGGATTTATGACACAAAAATCAGTTCTACTCCTAAAATCAGCTTATCTAGGATGTAATTGATAGCATTCATCTGGAACAGTCAGATGAATTTCAAAGTGATCTCAAGATGATTAAGCAAGATTTAAGATCATGGATTAAAAAGAGAGTAGAACCTACTAACATAGATGTAGTGATAGTTGATAAAAAAGAAAAATGCTCCTAGTACCAAAAAGAGGATGATTTAAGAAGAGCAACAATTGCAGAAATTAATGATTCGATAGAAAAGCAGACCAAAAAGATCTGTCAAGAGTATGATATATAGGTCAAAGCCTATTATGACTCAACTTTGTAGCAGATTGACAAATTTGTATAAGCAGATAATGCATATCTCTAGTTCAAATCCAAGTCAACAATTGACAGAACATTGAGAGATTAGAAGCAGTGATTTTAGGTATCTCAGCGAAACATTGAACTACACTAAAAGTTGCTGTAGGAAATAGAGGAGGAAAAAGTATTTGAATAGTCATTTAAGCGTAGAAAGTCAATCAAAATTAACTGGAAAGATTATTTAGAAGAGAAAAAATCTGGAATCAGTGGGAAACTATCGAAAGAACTGATAAGACTTAGGTGAAGGTAAAATTATTCAACAATAAGAACAGACAAAAAGAAAAAGAGTAACTTACTCTAAATCGGAAGAAATAAGCAAAGTATAACTAACACACATGCATATCAGAATAATGAGTCTTCAGCAAGATTTAATTTATCTCTTGAATCAGATTTGCTCAACGAGGATGATAATAGTGGGAGTAATTACCTAAAACTGCCAAGCAAAATTAATATTCACCAAAGATTTAACTCGACTAAAAGAAGTGAAGTCGGTCTATGATAGTCTTCACTAGAGCATAATACTTAAGATGACAGACGAGAACTACATTAGAAAAGAATATAGAACTCAATATTCAGAGACTTTTTAAATGAATAGAGCACAAGCAATATAGAGATTTCGAAACCTGTTATTTGATTGAAAGAGTTCAAACTTAAATCAAAGAAGAATCATGAAGTTTTTAGTCTTAAATATCCTAATCAATTCCTAAACATTAACTTGAACCCAAGCATGAAAAAAATTATGAAAAACGTTGACACAAAACCCAAAACTATCACAATGGATGGAAGTTTAGAGACCACAGTTGAAAAAAATAATAAAAGCCTACCACCTCTGCAGTTATCTTAGATTTAGAGCTCCATTCAAAAAATTAGGTCAAATCGTAAAACTCCAATCTTGTAAACTGAATTTAATTACATTAGCTCAAACAGGCTTAGAAATAATGCATCAGCTTTGACTTCAAATCCATATAGAGATGAAAATATTTCTGCTGGCAGGGGATCTCCTCAACTTTCAGATAGAGTTCAGATTGACATAAGGAAAATCGTAGACAAATGCACAAATTATCAAGATCAGCTGAAATCTACATATTTTGCAAGGTAAAATGAAACAAATCCAAATTATAGAGACATTGATGAGTTGATTTTCCAAGAGAAGATTAAATAAGAGAGACTTATCAAAGTCACAGATGACATCAAATTCTTAAGCGATCAAAGGCCTGAATTGGTAAAAACAATATTCAAAGAAAATTAGCTATCGTATTAATAGGCTTGCGAATCTGAAACTAAGACAGTTAAAGACTACTAAAATAGACAACTTGATACTAAACTTTTAAACTTCTTAGATAGGAGAGGAAGGAAGAAGTGACTATTTTTCTTGGAATTATGATTATATCTCATTGAAATTATAATGAGATTATTTAAGAATAGTGGTTGTATAGTTAATTAGTCATTAATAAAAGTGACTTGATTTCAATGATTTAATTTAATATTTTTAGAGATAGTAATTATCAAATATTTACAAATATAATCTTAATAGTTAAATTGTTAAATTAATGTCAATTCCAAAAATATTGATAACCCCCAGCAAATAGCATAATAGAATTGCCTCTCCTTAATCATATGTCGATCGTGAAATAGTTGGCCATGACTTAATTTCCGTTAGATCTGAGAGATAAAAAGACTAAAGAATTGATGTAAATATATTAATCGATCAATATAAATGATTACAATAATCCTTAATTTTAGAACATCATTAGAATTTTGAAGAAAGATCCTGATAAAAGATAAAACTCTGAGATTCAGTCAATAACTCCCTTTTTTAAGGAAATCGACTTCTTTAAGGAAAAGGATATCAAAGACAACTATTTTAACGATATAGTCTAAGCACTAAAATATGAAAAGTTTTCTTAAGGTGAATATGTATTCAGAAATGGTAAGTAGCTATGAAATTATATAGTTTTATTTTGGTTGATTTAGTGAAATTATTTAAAATTAATAGAAAGCAATATGTATATAATTTAATTTAGGCGACATCGGAGATTAATTCTATATAATTTTGTATGGAAGTGTCTCAGTATAAATTCCATATTTTGTGGATTAGAAAGGATCAGTGGCAAGAAGCATCATATCAGGTAGAATATCGGCTCGAGAATCAGAGTCCTCCAAGAAAGAGAAGGAATAGCAGAAAATATAAGAAAAAGATGTAAAAGGAAAAGCTAAAACAAAGAAATCTTAGTTTGAAGGTAAAGTCTCATCCTCTTATCAAGAAGATGATGATGATGAGGATGTATGAGAGTAAATAAATTCATTTGAAGACTTAGATGATTCATAAAAATCAGAAGCAAAGTCTGAAAGAACAGATTTAAAGAAGGACAATTTTCCAATTATGATAATGGATCTTGAGAAACGAAATTCAAAAATCTCAAAAGAAATAGCATAAACAGCACATCCATTGAGAAAATAAGTCTTTTCAAATGAAACAAACTAATTATCCTATGATCATAATATTCTAGGTGCAAAGAGATATAGCCAAGCCTCATCAAAAACCCCCATTCCTTATAAAAATGCATCTGTCAGATTAAAAGTTGAATCAGAGAGATACCAAACTGAAGTCAAGAAACTGTGCTCTGGAAGTGGTTTTGGAGAGCTAGCTCTAAAATCAAGTAAACCTAGATAAGCAAGCATATAATGTCTTGAGTCATGTGAATTCGCTACAATGTAAAAGAAAGATTACCTAAAGATATTAGCTAAAATAGATGATAAATCAAAGGAAGAGCTCATAAGTTTTTTTCAATCTACCCCTTATTTTGGACACTGGTCTAGATCAATGATCTTGAAATTGTTAGTCAGTTTTCATTTTAGAAAGGTATCAAAAGATTAATTAGTTCTTAATGAAGGAATCAAAAGTAATTACCTATTTCTTATAAAGGAGGGAGAGTTTGAAGTTACTAAAAAAATCAAGAAAGATTTAAGAGTCGATTTAGATTATTCCTAATTCATTAAACTTGATGAGAATGGAGAGAAATTGAAGTAACATCATTCTTAATTACTTCCTGAGTCAGTCCAAAATATTATGAGTTCTATGGAATTAGGCATAGAGTAAATTGAAGATGGAACTGTAAAAAGCCCAAAGAAAATTTCTAAAGCTAAAAAGTAATAGCAAGCTTAGGAGTTTGAGAAAAAATAGAAGTTCGTACCAAAGTACAATCCAGAAGAGTTAGTTTTCCCAAGAAAAACTCAAAATAAATTGACTTAATAAAAAACACATATAACTAAAGTCTCTGACCATCCAGTATATATATTCATTGTTCACATTTCACTATATAGTTTTTATTTCTGGGACCAGGTTAAATTTTTGGAGAAGAGAGTATGATAATCCAAGTGCCTTCATTATATTCAGTAAGATGCAGATCAGCTGCAGGGGAGATCTTTATCATTAATGAGCTGGAATTCGGAAGAAGAATAAGATCTAATGACCTGTCTATGAAAATAATTGAGTAAAACTGTGATTAAAAAGCAAAGTAAGTAGCTAAAGCTTTGCTGACAAGCAATTCTTATCTCAATTAAGACATTGATTCTAAGGGAACTTTCATGGTGTATTAATAAGAAAAGAACAATGAAAAAATTACTCCTAGAAATATTTAGCCAAAGTAGCAGCTGAAAAGTCAAAATACTTAATCTCAATATCCTAAGATCAGATCGTAAGAACTTGTGATAGATGATTTAGACCAATAATTTAAAGAGGAAAAAAAAGATTAGCTACTTAGCTATGAGCTTCAAAGGATATAATCTCAAGGTTCAACAGGTAACAAGCCTGTTAGTCCATCAATGGCAAGAACTCCATCTTAAGTGGATAGAGATAATAAGTAAATGCAATTGTATCAAATTTCGAAGAGCACTACAAAGAAAGTAGTTCAAACAAATGCCTTGCTAAATAAAAGAGAACTTGACTACAGACATACTATGAAAGAAATGGTTAATCAATATCCATCGGTTATTTAGCAAAGAAGAATAGTCTGAAAGGAGTATCAGTAAAAGGTTTAGCAAATTAAGGATATAGTTGAGGGTCCAGAGGATGAAAAGCAAAAGGATCCTCAGGTCTCATTTTAAGAGTAACTTGCACAGTCCCTGTCAAAAAGTAATAATAAGAGAGAGTTAATTAACATATTAAAAAGAAAATTAGTAAATGCAGTTGAGTCAAATCATTAAGATCACTTGAAGCTTTTGGATAAATTCCTACAATCAAAGATTGTTAAGAGGTACACTTAGGCCTAAAAGAAACATTACTTGAGTTCTAAAGTAGCAGATGCTATCGAGACCAATGAGGGGTATAATCAATTTATAGAGATTGCAGATAAGATAAAGCAGCATTTGACTGAATCCAAGGATAGATCTTATAGAAATTAATCGAAAACACCAATCAAACAAGTGAGAATTCATAGTGCTAAGCCGAATAATAATCTCTTATTTGCTTAAAGTCATCAGAAAAATACTACCTATAATAACTATGGAATAAAAGATCAGAGAACTAGTTCAAGAAGATATGAATCAAATAAACCTAATGCCCGAGTTAGTCTCGACTATGCCCCTCATTTCTAAGCATCAATTGTTTAAGAACAAGATGTGAGTAGCTTAATTGGTAGTAATCCAACTTCCCCTATTTTTTCACAGAGGCAAATTCATACAAATACAGCTTAGACTAATAGGTTTAATGGAATTAACTTGGAATCGTAGACTCATAATAGAGCCATGACATTTATACATCCTTATACCAATTCCAAGAGAACTGGAACTGCAAGCAAAGACTTTAACTCAGTCTTCAAGCATTTTCTTGACACTTCTAATAAGTATATGTCGGTTGCTCAGACTATGAGAAAGTCTCCAGCTCATAATACTAACTATAGTGTGATTAGGAAAGCTATGCCAAATACTCCTTTTACAAATTCTATCCATATATCTAATGTAAGCACCAACAATATTTTTTCAAAGGGAGGAATAATTGGCTCGGCATAATCAATTCACGCCTCAGCCAATATGAACAGGTCAAGCAATTTCTCAAGCAACATTATAAAACCATTTTCCAGAGAGTCGAATGTAATGGATAAGTAGAACATTGAAATGAGCAGAGCCAATGCAATAAATCCACTTAATAAATCCATGAATGCTTAGGTCTATAATTAATGAAAAAATATAGCCTAGATAAAATGAAAGAAAATAAGAAGATAATATAATATGAAAACTTATTACTTAAGAATTATTCTTTATTTCATAAAGATTACTTATTTTAGATAAATGGGGTTTTGGGGTTTTGGGGTTTTGGGGAGATCGGAAGAGCACACGTCTG